TTTTTTTTTTTTTTGGTACCAGGGATCAAACTAGGGACCCTGTGCTTACCAGGCAGGCTGCAGAACCACTGAGCTAAATCCCTGGCCCCAGACACCATTTAAGCTGTTTTTATTAAGCCCTTATGAGTTTTGGTAATGATCCCAAATTCTGTAAAATAGGCTTTAATTATGCATGTTACATTCAAGAACATGTAGTTTTGTGTGTATACACAAATGAGAGAAAAAGACACAAAATATATTAATAGATACCATACTGTTGTCCTGAGAGACTTGCCTATGATTACGTAAAAATAAACCAAAAAACAGTTGAAACTCCATTGGCCCATTCTTAAGATTTAAATCTGCTATTTGTAAGAACTACTGCTATTTTCAACTCTAGGTAAGAAGCCTCTAAATTAATCCTGGCACCAGTTTCCTAGTACAGATTTCCTTCAAAGCCTGGCCATTGTCCATCCAAGCTCAACTTCATCCAAAAACTTCATTCTAAACACAGGAAATATCGGGCCCTCTCAGGTGTGAACAACAGCTGTCTTCCAGTGTTCTGTTGCTCAAAACTCTATAATTCTTATAACCATTTCAGCTGGGAGTGGTGGCACAGGCTGAGGTAAGTGGATCAAAGAGTTCAAGCCCAGTATGGGCAACTTAGTGAGACCCTCACTCAAAATAAAAATAAACAACAAATTTTCCCCTTACCCTTGGCAAAATCAACACAGCAGTACAAACTGATCCACAATTACTTCTGTCTCCTTAGCAGCTGCACAAGGCTACCTGGGCCCCCTGGAACTCTTGTTTCATACTCAGAACTCAGCTATATCCTGAATTTCTTGACTGTGCCCTTGATGTCTTTCTTTTCCTACAGACTTGAGAGTCTCCTGAGGCCGGAGCTCAGGAAAGCGGATCATACCCCAGGGCCTAGAGGCTATTTATTTTTCACTTGTCCTAGTTTTCTGCAGCCACTTTCAAAATCTTTATCACTCAGTCAAGGCTTGTTTCATGTGGCTATATCACTCGGTACCAAGATGTAGCAGATAAGGTGAAGTAAGCCAGACATAGTACTTCATAGGTTAACTGCCCTGGTTTACTACTTTACTATTCTCAACCTGTAGCCCAAGTCTGGGCTTGATCTTTACCATCACTGTTATTTAAGAAGACACCTGCTTAAGACTCTACTTACTTACCTCCTTTTAACTTACTACACTCACTCTTCCTATCAGTCTGCCAATTTTTCTCCTAAATCTTCCATAGGCTCTGAGAAACACCTTCTCCAGTCTGGTTCTATACTTCAGACAATTCAATATGAACTAACTTCCCTGACATTGGGAGAAACTTTCAATCATTGTCTCAGTGAACTGCAGAGACCCTCTTCTTATGTTATATTCCCTTCAACTAACCAGTAATCAGGTTCAGCCAATTCTAGCTCCTTAATACTCTCCATCTACTCTAGTATCTCCTACTGCAATAATCATTGATTCATTTACAATTAAATTCTTCCTATGTGTTAGCCATTATTCTTGTTACCAGAGACAAGAGACAAAAATGTTTACTTCTTCACAGAGCTTACAACACTAGTGGAAAATCTCATAAAATATAGTATAGAGATTAGGTAACAATATATGTGTATATCTAAGGAATCTGCCTGCTGAGAAATGGCAGGGAAGCCAATGTGGCTAGAGCAGAGTAAGCAAGGGACACAGGAGTGGATATGGTCAAAGAAGTAATGGGGGCATAGATCATGTAGGCTCTAGGATCCCTGGTAGGGGTACTTCAGTTTTTATTCTAAACACAAAAATGAGAAATCACTCTTGAACTGAGAATGGTCTGTAGGAGGTTGAAGTAGGAGAGGACAGATAGTGTTAAAATAGTGAATAAGAAAGACAGATGAACATTAAATGTGTTATTAGCTGAGTTAACTAAAAACAAAATCCTACTTACCCTGTTTACTGTGGATGCAAGTGCCTGAAGAACAGCCACTTTATCCCTAGAAATAGCAATCACATGTTAACCTTGTCAGGGATCTTCATACTCACAAAGTAAACAGGCATTTCTACTGTCACAGTGTCTCAGCCAATGACAGCTCAGGGCTGACTTTCAGCTGGTACTTAATCTCTCAGGCCCACTAGACTAATAACAAGATTGGAAGCAAGAAATGTCTGGTTCATTTTCCTGAAAGTGAATATTCTCTTGTGTGTTTGCTTTGCCTGGTCCCTAACATCACCACCCAGAGCTAGTGATTCTTACTCCCACTTCATAAAACTATCTCGCTGACCTCCTCCTATCTACTTTCCTACACATTCTTACCGCAGGTTTCTGGACTAATCTTGCCTTTACTATCCAAATTAGAGACACTTAACTCAGGCATTGATGAGAATAAACAACAAGCTCCACTCTGGACCTATTGGATCAGAGCCTCCAGGACCCATGAAAGACTATCACATGCATCTTTCCTGAATTCTCACAGACTCTAGTACATCCTCCTGGTGTGGAGCCCTTCAACCATATGTAACCTACTGGCAAGAACTACAGGTCAGCTGTGTACTGCACCTTTGTCACTGAACCAAAAAGTTTCAGAGCATAAATGACAAATGAGATATCTGGTTTAAAATCTACTTTTACTTCTTTATTATATCTAATGTATGGCATTTCCAAGACAGCTATAACTTTAACCAAATTAGCACACATCCCTAACATAATAAACAAATGCCAGTGAAAAACTGACATATTACTCACTAGTTCTTTTTTTAAAAAGGGTTATTTTAAAAAATAAATCACAATGAATATACTATCTTTAAGAAACAAGCCAGGTTTAAAGGGTTAAGGTAAAGTATCAAGTGTCATCCTGTGACCCGACTCTACCATGAGTTTATTTGTATTTTCAGATCTTTTAATGGTATTTTTTTCACACACATATCACCATAAAAAAGTGTCACTGTTTCTGTTAAGTTTGACTATACCATCATCATCACTACACAAAGATCTAAGTAATTCATTATATGTTACACTGTAACATTTATTTTTTTACTATTCACTCACCATGAGCATTTAAAGTGTTTTAAATTACTACTCCCAAATCATGAAGAACAGTTTCATACATATCTCTCTGGGCTTATATGCAAGTGTTCCTTCTAAGCAGTAAACATGTATATTTTAAATTTGACTAGGTCAAATTTCCTGCCAGCAATGCTCTAGTAACAAATCTATTTAAGCCACTCAACATCTTCTTCTTGCTAATCTGGTAGTCTTTAATTTGCATTTTTTTTAAAGAGTAGGAAAAATTTATTGAGGGAAAGAAAGCTTTGGTCTAAGAGAGACAAAAGGGGGACTGGAAAGTGGGTTTCCCCTAATTTGCATTTTTAATATATACTAACCAAAACTGGGCTGCCCATTTCTCTGAAGTAACTATACATAATTTAGATTTACTGAATCAAAACACTGCCCTTTTCATGTCATACTTGTATAAGAAAATGCACAGTGACTACTGACAAGTTACTAAAATCTTTTATGGTACCTGTGTGGAAACCAGAACCTTAAGAGCTGCTTGTCCTAAGCCAGGTGTGGTAGTGCACACCTATAATCCCAGCACTCTGAGAAGCCAAGGGAGGAGGTTTGAGCCCAGTCTAGGCAACTTGGTTAGACACACATAGTCTCAAAAAAAGTAAAATATTTTAAAAGGGCCAGGGATTTACAGCTCAGTGCAGAAGCCCTGAGTCCTGGAGAAAAAAAATGTTTGATCTCTAAAATAAAGCATGAGAAATTATGGCCTACAAGAATTCTTCCAGGTCTGAAAGCACAGATTCCATAGAAGGTAATAAGGGGCAATGCATCAGGGATCAACACACTTGTTTTAGGTAAAGGGACAGGTAATAGTTTGGGCTTAGGAATTATAACCCTAATGAAATACTAAATATTAAAAGTAGAGCAATCTAACAATTCAATCCTAAACTAAATGTGTATGTATACCTTATATAAAAATAGGTGAGGTTATATCCCAAAATTTAAAACAGCTATAATCAAGCTCTATGCGAAAGATACTGTTCAAAATGCTGATACAGTCCTTTGAGGTAGGTACTATCATTATCCAAACTGTACATTATGCAAAGAAGCTAAGCAATTTACTTCTGTGTAGTGGAATTGTAATTTTATTTCCTTTCTTCATGTTGGATTTATCCTATCTTCTCTTTAGCAATAATCATTAATTACTTTTATAATTAAAAAATTTGGGGGGGGCCGGGGATTTAGCTCAGTGGTTCTGCCTCCTGCCTCGTGAGCGCAAAGTCCCAAGTTCGATCCCTGGTACCCCCCCCAAAAAAAATTTTTTTAAAGGAACACGAGTTTTGAGGTTAGACTTAGAATCCTAAAACTTGACTTTTATTTAAGGGGACTTTAAGTATTCAATAAAATCAAACCATAAGTACTTCATTGAGGTTTTACTTCTTACACATACAACAAATGTTGAATAAATGAGATAAGGCAATTTGTCCAAGGAGCTCTCCGATGAGTGAAAAGCGAAAATTTGAGATCCACATCTTTTTTTCGGAGATAGGGTCTCACTATGTAGTTCAGGCTGGCTTAGAATGAGCGAAGCAATCCTCCTGCCTCAGCTTCTCAAGTGGTGGGATTATAGGCGTGCGCCACCACACCTTTTAAGTAAATGTTACTCCTCTTATACCCTCCACCTTCTTCCTTTATGTCCTTGAAACCCAACCCCCCCAGCATTCCGCTTCACCGCTTCCCTCTTTCCATTGCTCTTCTTTTTCTTCTTTTTTTTTTTGGTACCAGGGATCAATCTCTAGACCTTGCACTTGCAAGGCAGGAAGCGTAATCACTGAGCTAAATCCCTGGCCCTCCATTCCTCTTCTTGTCACTGATTCCTGCTGATCTGACCTCTATGTTTTCCTCAATAAGCATGCAACAACTTGCTGAATGAACACCCATCAAATACTCACCAAGTTTTCTTTTTTGGAATTACTACTTCTTCAATTCCTTAATGAGAAAAAAACAAATCAGATTCGTAATATTACTACTACCATGTCTTGATAAAAAAGTGGAACTATTTCAATACTTAATATACCTGTTATGTCAGTTCCTCCAACCTCTGGGCAAGCTGTATTTCCAGAATAACCTCTGCAAAAAATGAAAGCTTCAGCTAATACTCCTGAGTGAAGTTACCAGCTCACCTCTACTTCTACCCATTTTGAAATCCAATGTTCCAATTACCATGGATAAAATAGACTGGATAACTCAGGCCAACATATATGAGAAAATACAGCCCAAAGAGCTTGTTCAATATTACTGCTCATGCTCTTACATACATAGTGCCCCGACAATAAAGACCAGCTCCACTTCACCCAAGGTTTTTATTTCACATCCTTCAATAATCAAGAATGTATCAAATACAAAAGACATAATTTATACTTAGAATTGCTATAATGTTCCTAGAGGCTCAAGCACAAAAAACTTTAAATATAGAACCACTGCCCCACAAATGAGTTTTATGGTTGTTTTGGGGGTTTTGTTTTGTTTTGTTTTGTGGTACCAGGGACCTTGCGAGGCAGGTGCCAGAACCAGTGAGCTAAATTCCCAGCCCCCACAAATGAGTTTTATTGTTGGTTTTTGGGAGGTATTTTTTGGTACCAGGGACCCAACTCGGGCCCTTGCGAGGCAGGTGCCAGAACCACTGAGCTAAATTCCCAGCCCCGACAAATGAGTTTTACAATATTCTGATGACACTAAAAATACAGTCAGTGACACCAAGATAATGGCCACGATTAATATCACCTTGTATATTCCCTTGGTAAATGGCATTAGTACAATTCAGAAAACTGAGATGTCATTACACTAAAAAATAAAAAATACTCCCTCCACTACATCTGGTCTCAGGCATCATTTTAAAACAATTTTACTATTCTCTTCACAAAGAGATCAACTCTTACATATCACTCCATATGTTTCTTGTAACATCAGGACAGGGAAGAATAAAAGCTGAGGTAAGGATGTTGCTGTCAGGCAAAGAAAATGGGTAGATAAATGTCAACACTAAACACAGCCTGGAACAGAGGACTAAAATGCACTGCATAAAGGCTTCGGCAGCCAGGCGGTGGTGCATCCCAGAACTTAGGAGGCCGAGGCAGGAGGACTGCCACAAGTTCAAAACCAGCCTGAACTACATAGGGAGACCCTCAAAAAAAAGCGTCTGCAATATCAGGTGAAGTGTTTTAAGAGGAACTGAGAGAAAGTACATATAAAATATTTATTGTAAACTACGCATCTTATTTTCCACAATTTTTTCTCATGGTTATCCACTCAAAACTATTTGTCTACTAACATCCAACTGGAGGAAAGGCAGACACTGCAAACACTAAATCTAAAATTAGGTTTTCGGGCTGGGGATTTAGCTCAGTGGCACTGCACCTGCCTCGAAAGCACGAGGTTCTGAGTTCGATCCCTGGCACCCTCCCCCATCAGGTTTTCCCTGGGTTGAGGGTTTAGCTCAGTGGTAGTGTGTAATTCACAATACAGGAGGCCCTGGATTCAATCTCCAACATCAAAAATTTTACATAAATAAAACAAAAGCTGGGTGCGGTAGCACACACTTGTAGTCCCAGTACTCTGAGAGGATATCTAGTTTGACTCAACCTGAGTAACTAACAATTTAGGAAGATACTGTCTTGGAATAAAAAACTTTTGAGTCTGGGGATGTAGCTCATTGCACAAGCCATGGATTCAACCCTCAGTACTCAAAAAGTAAAATGTAAATAAGACTTAAAAAATAAGGTTTTGAAGCCCTTAAAAAAAAAAACCTACATGATTGCTCTCATTTTCACATGAACACTGTAGTAATAAAAATAACATACAGATGATACTTGTTCCAAGTTGTAACTACCACAGATTCAAAACACGCGTGTGTGGGAGATTCAAGAGAATCTGATCATTTACTTGACCCAAATTCACACCATCCGGCACAGTGACATTCAAGGGCTGCCTAACATTTCCGAAAAATCCATGACCCTTCCTCGTTCTTCTCAGGCTGGGTTAAAATGAGCAAGGGCGGATTTTTTTTTTTATGGTATTAATCGTATTTATTAGAATGTAACCTTCACGAGGGCAGGGTTCTAGTTTTGCGAGCAATTCTAACTTAAAGGTATTGTAAATAACATAACTCCCTAAAGAATATATGTTTTTTGTACTTCTACTGTTTTTCAAGTCACTGGTTCCCCGTGCTCGCCCTAGGGGACCAGCAGCCGCGAGAACTCGCATGCGCACACCGTAACATCCCGCCTAAATCCACTTCTCAGAACGTAGGACTAAGTTCATCCTCGCGTCTTTCTTAAGGATCCCCCAAATTTCTCTTACCTGCAACTGTGTGACGGTTCACACACACCTACCCGCCGACCAGTGAGCGGCAAGCGAAGCCAGCTGCGGACCCGCAGCCAACTAGCAGAGGATAGAGCCGCCATCTTTCATTTCTTCGCAGAGCACGTTGGGAAGGCACGCCCTCGACCTTTAGCGTCATTGAGGGAGGGGGGAGTGGGCGAAGAACATACAACTGGAAATGGGAGGTTGCCACCTCAATGTTGGAATGACTGTTTTAGCAGTTAAAGGCTCAGTGCTCCTCATTTGTCTTGAAAAAAATTTCTCAAACTATTATTTTAATGACATATATATTTAAATGTTTTCAAAATAAAAAGAGGTAAAAGTCCTGGAAAAAAAATACTTTCCTCCCCCCACAGAAGTGATTTCGTCCTGCGTTTCCCGTGCGCAGGCGCAGTTTGAATCACGTGTTCCTGGCTAGAGGCTGAGTTAAGAATTTGCGGGTGGTGAACTGGAACATCTCCTTCTAGGTGTCGGATCTCAAAACTCGAAGGATGTTGGGCTCCAAGAACGTGCCCTGGCGGCGGCTGCAGGGCATTTCCTTCGGGATGTATTCGGCTGAAGAGCTCAAGTAAGGAGTTGGGAAGTGTGGAGATCTGTAGTCTTCAGGTGGGCGCCGCCAGCTTATAGGTGAAGGGCATGGTTGTCTGACGCGTGTCCCCTGCTGGGGGCCTGCGGACCCAGCGACGTTCCTGGGCCCACGTGTCCTGCCTCTTGTACGACGCGGGGGTCAGGGCTGCCCCGCAGTACTACTTTTATCACCCGCTCGTCTCCTCCTTAATTAACCAGCGTTTGTGGAATTACTGTACTGTAATACACGCGGCCATTGAAGCGTAATTTCCTCTTGTCTGAATATTGATTATCCTTTAAGTCTCAGTTCAATCGATAGAGCATGATCCCCGCTCTATTTTCCGCCTAGTTACTAAATCACGGGAACTCTCGTTAGACCTCATTTTGATCTCGGTATCATTTGACGCTCTTCACCACACTCTTGAAACTGCCGTCTCCCAGGATCTTACTTTCTGCTATTTCTGCTATACTTTTTCCTGTCTCCTTCCCTCTGTCAAGCTATCAACCCACAAAATGTTATTGAGCGTCCTCTATTTGCCAGGTACTAAGCTGGGTGTTCACATGTCGGGGAACATGGTCCGTGATCCTTGAGGTCCTGTCCTATTCTTGTACTAAATATTGTCTCTAGAAACTCATCACTTTTATGATGGATACATCCAAATTTAAATCTTCGGGCCAAAGTCTTTTTCTGATTTCTTGGTGAATTTCCAATTACTTAGCTGTTTTCTAGATATCTTTACTTAAATTTCAGAGAGATCCTAAACTGATATATCAAAAATTCAACACCCCCCCCAAACTGAAGAGGAACTTGCCTTTCCAAAAACGGTGTGTCTAGTCTAGTGTAAAATGGTCACTAGAAATGGGAAAAGTCTGTCTAATTTTAAACCTCATTTTCCTAACATTTTGGGGGCTCTTGCTATGTATTATATTTATGTTTCATACTTTATACCCTCCTTTTCACCCCTATTGCCAGTGCCGAAAAGCAGGCTCTTACATGTTTAAATCACCCCCATACCTATTCAGTTCATCCTACACACTGCTGTCAAAATTAGTCTTCCAAAATGTGTATTTATCTGTCACTCTTTTTTTGTTTGTTTGTTTGTTTGTTTTGAGACAGGGTCTCACTGATAGTTCAGTCTGGCCTTGAAATCACTGATGTAGCCCAGACTGGCCTCGAACTCATGGTGGAACCTCCTGCCTCAGTCTCCCAAGTGCTGGCTTCACAGGTGTGTGCTGCCATGCCTAGCTTCATATGTTACTCTTAAAATCCTCCAAAGGTTTTCTGTTTCCCTTGGATAAAGGATACCTTCTTAACATAGTTTATAAAGAATCATCCAAAAGCAGAAATGTTTTTGGTTGCTTGAATTTTTAAAAAGATAATCATAGGGCCAGGGATTTAGCTCAGTGGTGCTGCTGCCTGCCTCGCAAGCACAAGGTCCCGAGTTCAATCCCCAGTACTAAAAAGAAAGATAATTGTAGTTTTCAAACAGAAAACAGTATGGACCATGACAAACATTGTAGACCTTTTTTTGATCTAAGGTTGAGAAATTTGAATAATGCTGCTTTTATAGTGTTAGGCTTTAGTAGCTTTCTGACTCAGAGTAAAAGCCAGGTGACCTGGTAGGGTCATTCTGGCCCCAGCCTCACCTCAATTCCAGTCACCCTGACTGCCTTGCTGACCCTGAACACACTGGCACACACCCACCTTGGGATGTTTGCACTGCTTGCTTCTTATAAAGTTCTTGGCCTGATGATTGCAGGGCTTGCTTCTTCATCTCCTTTAGGCTTTTGCTCAACTGTCTCTTTGGTGACAGCTTTTCTGGTCACTGGTCCACGTTATTCTTTCCCTCTCCTGCATTATTTTTGTCCAAGCACTTTCTGCTATCTGAAGACTATATACCTAATTTATTATATGTGTGTGGGGGGTGACAGGGGTTGTTTTTCTTCTCTTCTTCCAATGGAACGTAAAGTCTATAAGCATAGAAATCTTTTCTAGTTCTGCAGCACCCAAATCTATCTGGCACACAGTATGTAAGCAAGTAGGCAATATGTATTTGTTGAGTGCATGAGGAGTTCTGTACTTAGCACTTGGCACTGTGAATCCTTGCTACAACCATTTATGATAGTGCTACAGGAAAAGGTCACAGGAAAAGAAATTCAAGTTCAGAGAATAAAATATTCTCTCTAGGAACTGACAGGGGTCATTCTCAAGCCCAAGTTTGTTGTTCTTAAACTGCATACCCTGCAGTAGAATCCTTATTGGTTACCCTTACCCTCTTATAATAAATACTCTGAGGGACTTTCTTCTACCCCAGCCAAGAGAGACAACAAGTTGTTCGAGGCACTGTATTTTTTTTGTGTTATCTTCTAATACATTCATGATGGACCATAATTCATATGTTTCACTGCCTGGAGACTGATTTAAATGTGTTGCATACCTGCCAGCTTAAGCCACTCCTGTGGTACATGCACAACTGTCCCATTAGACAGCATGGCGCAGTCCCATCCAGTGGTACAAGGTACACAATAGAATATTATTTAGCTCTAAAAAGCAGGAAAATTCTGATACAAGCCATTTGCAATGTGGATGAACCTTGAGGACATTAGGTTGAATGTAATAAGCCACTCACAAAAGCACAGTAGTATATGATCCCCCTTCCATAAGGTACTTAGAGGGTTCAAATGAATTGAAACAGCAAAATGGTGGTTGCTGGGTGATGGGGAGAGAGGAATGAGGAATTAATTGTATAATGGGTATAGATTTCAGTTTTGCAGGATGAAAAGAGTTGTGGAGTTTGATGATTGTGATGGTAACACAATGTGAGTGTACTTAATACCATTCAACTATACTTTTAAAAAGTTAAGTTCTATGTATGTTTAATTATGATTTTACCCCACATTTTGTTTGTTTGTTTGTTTTGGTGTTGGGGATCAAACTCAAATCCTTGAGCTTTCAGGGCAGGTGCCAGAACCACTGAGCTAAATCCCTGGCCCCTAATTACGGTTTCAAAAAGAGGGAAAAACAAGAAAGCTAAGTAGTTCAGTGTTACCCAGTTCAGGGTTGCAGGTGGACCTCACGTTTGTGTGAAGAGACCACACATAACATCAGATTAAAGTTTCTGATGAAATTTGCAACTATATCAATGAGAGCCGTTGCAGTAGACCTGCCTAAAGGTAGCCTGACTTTCAGAATGGCCCTGATTTTGCATTGTAGAATGGCCCAGGTTAGAACAGCTTAGTTGTACTCTTAGTACACTTAGTTATACTCAATATATACGTTACCTTCATGGATAACTTAGCACTGTTTTTATGTTGGTTTCCAGTGGGATGCGAGATTGGGATGATTTCTTTGTTCTTAGCTTTATTTTCTAAATTAGAAAAGTTTTGAAAAACAAAGTAGCCTTTGCAATAATATAGTCATGTGTCATTTGGTGAAAAAGATGCATTCTAAGAAGTGCATCAGTGATTTCATCTTGTGAAACATCGAGTATAAATACACAATCCTAGATGGCATAGCCTGCTACTCACCTACACTCAACAGTGTGTATCATTGAATGTGCAGCCCATTTTTGACAGAAATTTCTATAGGTAGTGCATGACTATTTATGCAGCTGTCCTTTAGGAGCCCCCATTAAACCATACATAAGGGGCCGGGTGTGTAGCTCAGTGGTGCTGTACCTGCCTAGCAAACACAAGGTCCTGAGTTCGATTCCTGATAAACCCCCCCCCTGAAAAAAAACAACATAAGATGTGATGAAACCTTTTGAAAAGCAAGTTCTGCTTCTTAAAACTTTTGAGTATTAATTTTCTTAGATATGGTAGTTCTGATTACAAGGGTTATTGTACATCTCTTTCATTGAGCTGTTTGGGTTTTGGAGTTAGGTCCTGCTTTCCTCACATTCTGGCTGCATCACTTGGATTAAATCACCCAACTACTTTAAGCCTTCTTTTCCTCCTCTGAAAAATACATACAGTGGTGCTTATCTCAGAAAGCTAAGACCAAGAGTACACTTAATCTTAGCCAAGAAGTAATTTCAAGACCAAGTAAATAATGCTGCTTATAAAGCATTCAGCATGTAATACATACATAAGCCCTTTTTATAAAAAGTTGGCCAATGCACTTGGTGCAAATACTGCTACAAATTATTTTTGAAAATTTTGCTATTCTTATTTAGCGATATTTGCGGTTACAGCTTAGATCTAAAATGTGCCCCAGAAATGTCATGTGTTTGAAGGCTGATTAGATCATGTGGGTACTGTACTCATCAGTGGGTTCATCCAATGAGAATTTTAGCAGCTGAGTATGTTGGCAGGGGGTGGGGCCTGGTTGGAGGTAGGTCGCTAAGGACATCACCTAGAAGGACATATTCTTGTACCTGGGCTCTTCTTTTTTGTCTCTGTTTCCTGGCTGCCATGAAATGAGCAGCTGTCTTCCACCATGCCCTCTGCCATGTCATTTCTGCTTAGGTTCCCACTGACCGTGGACTGAATTCACTAAAAACTGTGAGTCAGAATAAACCCTCTCCTCCTTAAAGTTGTGAATGTTGAGTATTTTGTGTTAACAATGTGAATGTCACTGATAATACGGAGTAACTGATGTGTGCTAGCCCTGCATAGGTGTTGGGGTATGGTGGTAAGGACTATGAGAGATTTTGCCCCCAGAACTGTCAGATGTGTCAGAGTAAACACACTCAATAATCACTTGAGAACAGTTTTGTAAATTCTGAAAAGCAAACATCAGCAAGGTTGATAACCTCAGTTCTCTCTTTTTCTTTTTTATCTCTTTAGGAAATTAAGTGTTAAATCCATTACAAACCCTCGGTACCTGGACAGCCTGGGGAACCCATCAGCAAATGGTCTGTACGATTTAGCACTGGGCCCTGCAGATTCCAAAGAGGTGTGCTCTACCTGTGTACAAGATTTCAACAATTGCTCTGGGCACCTGGGCCACATTGAGCTCCCACTCATGGTGTACAACCCTCTCCTCTTTGATGTATGTACTGTGTGTGGGTCTCAGGGCTACTGGTGGGATTGTGAAGGTCACCGTTCTTCCCACAGAATGTATCTGGGAAGGTTAAACTCTAGATGCTTTGTGTTAAAGCAGTCTCTAGAAAGAGATAGAAAACCTGGGAGAGCCAAATACAGCTTGAGTTATCTACAGCGCTTGAAACGAGAAATGTTTTTGATTTCAGAATTTTATAGATTTTGAAATAGTTGCCTGTAATCCTGAGATATCTTGGTGATGGAACCCAATTTTATATGGTATTTCTCATGTACCTGCATTTGGGCTGTGACCCATCACATGAGGTCAGGAGTCAAATGCTCTCCATGTGGTGCTATGTTAGTGCTCAAGTTCTGTGTTCTGGAGCTTTTTGGATTGGTGATGCTTGGCCTGTTAACTTTGACCTTCCTCATACCTCTGATTAAACAAATTTCAATTGTTTCCAGTTGAGAAGAGTTCCAGCTTGATTCTATTCACATGAGGGAAAATGTTCAGATTTATCCCTTGAACCTTTTGTTCCACAGACTTTGTGCCTTTCACAAACTTGGGTGGCAACTCTCTGAAAACAGAGAAAACTTGAGTGTTCTCAAGGCCTCAGATCTCTTAATGTGGATCTGTAGAGTCTTACTTGGTGGCAGGAGAAGCAGCGCCCCCAAAAGCCCATCAGATCAAAGCAAAGTTACTGGCTAAAGTCCCACTTTTGTGGGTTTAGGTTTTATTATCAGTAGATATAGCCTCTGGAAGTGTTTTTTAAAGCTCCTTGTTGGTGTACATAGACGTGATTTAGCTGTTAAACCTGTTAAAAAAAGGTTATTACCTTAGTTAAGTAGTTGGTACAAGAGAAAAGTAACTCCCTGTCTCACCGTAAGTAAATTTCACATTTTAATGGATTAAAGTAAAACCGTGGACCAGGCATGGTGATGGCACATGTGTAATCCCAGCACTCAGGAGGCTGAAGCAGGAGGATCACCACAAGTTGGAAGCCAGCCTAGACTACGCAGTGAGTTCAAGGCCACCCTGAACTCTAGCAAGACCCTGTTTCAAAAAAGAAAAAGAAAGAAGCCATAGAGGAATATTTTAAATTCTTAGAGTCAAAAAGACCTTTCTACATAGGTCAAAAGAGCAAACAGACTACAGAAAGAAAAATCTCAGGAGTACACAAAATCACCATGAGTGCTATATCTCTTATGTCCTGTTTCTTTTTATCTTTTCTCTTTAGAAACTTTACCTGCTGCTCCGAGGTTCCTGTTTAAACTGCCACATGCTGACCTGTCCCCGGGCTGTGATTCACCTCCTTGTCTGCCAGCTGAAAGTTCTGGAAGTTGGGGCCCTACAAGCAGTCTACGAACTGGAGCGAATTCTGACCAGGGTAGGTGGATAATGGTGGTCATAGAAATCAGGAAAGCCAACTAATGGGGAGTAAGAGATGCTTGTATTTTGTTCCTAATTGCGACCCTAGTAGTCACCAGAATGTGACTCGTGTGAGAGATAACCTGTGCAGATAGCCCCTTACAGGCTATATAATTAGATTTTAAAAAACCTGAAACTATAAGAGAAATTGAATAGATGTTAATGAAAACAACACTGAAAGGCTATTTTATTCAGTACTGACATTTTTATTCTTTTTTTTTTTTTTTTTTTTTTTTTTTTTTTTTTTGGGGGT